GGACTCGGGCTCAGGGCCCCCCCCCCCTCTCTCTCTCTGAAGCTTCCTGGGGCGACCTTAGGCCAGTCAGACACACGTTTAGAAGGGGGGGAGGAGGCGAGACCGGGTTCATGCCCCACATGGCCCTTCACTACCCCCAAAGGAGTCTCAGAGCGGCCCACAGACTCCTCCCCCTCCCCACCACTGACAGGCACCCCCTGGGAGGGAGGCGGGGCTGAGAGAGCTCTCTTGAGAGAAACGGCTCTTTCTTCAAGGACAGCTCTTGTCAGAACTAGTGACTGACCCAAGGTCATCCAGCCAGGTGCAAGTGGAGGAGGAGTGGGGACTTCACCACAACACCAAACTGAAGAAGTGATTGGATTTATACCCCATGGCCCTTCACTACCCAAGGGAGTCTCAGAGCGGCTTACAGACTCCTTTCCCTCCCCCTCCCCACCACAGACAGGCACCCTGTGAGGGAGGCGGGGCTGAGAGAGCTCTCTTGAGAGAAACGGCTCTTTCTTCAAGGACAGCTCTTGTCAGAACTAGTGACTGACCCAAGGTCATCCAGCCAGGTGCAAGTGGAGGAGGAGTGGGGAACCGAACCCAGCTCTCCCAGATCAGAGTCCACACACTTAAACACGACACCAAACTGGCTCTCTTTTAGTCCTTGCCTACCCCGCAGGGTGGTTGTGATAATAAGATGGGAATGAGGATTGATGCCATATGTTTGGAGGAAAGGTGGGGGTCAAAGAATACTGCATAAATAAACTTGGGGAGAGCTGTCTCTACAGGAAGGGTAAGCCACTCTGAGTGAAGGGCAGGGCACAGATCCAGTCCCTTCTTCTTCTTCTTTACATTGCAGCCAACCTGCAACCTGGAATAGCAGAGTTTCAGTCCAGTGGTACTTTTAAGACCATTAAAGTTTAATTCTGGGTGCAAGCTTTTGTATGCATGCTCAGGAAAGCTTATACTCAGAACTAAACTTTGTTGATCTTCAAGGTGCCACTGGATGGAAACAGTGTTCTGCTGCTTCAGACCAACATGGTGACTCACCTGGATCAACTTGGAATAGTGTTACTAAATAAATAAACTTGGTGAGAGCCACGTCTGCTAATGACACTGGTAGTTTGCTGCCTGAAAGAAATGCGTTAATCCTTAAAAAATAGACCAGTGTTACAATTCTTTGCATTATGAGTGGGGAACTTATTGAGAGACACCAGAATGCATAAGATCTGTGTGACTTTTGTTGTGGTCTGGTCTGGACCTGCGTATTGTGGTTTTGGATGCACAGCCAAATTTTATTCAAGCGTAACAGTGTTTGTCAACTAGAGACACTTTTGCATAAGTGCCTGGGCAATGAGGTATCTGACCGAGTGGCCTCTAGTCCACTGAAGCTTATGCTGGAATGCAACCTTGTTGGTCTTAAAGATGCTGGAAGAGAATAACAGGACCTCCCTTCTGAATCTGCTGCTATTCATAGTGCAGTAAAGCTGTAGCTAGCTTTCATTGACAGTGTGTGTGAAAATGGTCACCCATCCCAAGTCTTGGCATTTGTCCTGTGCAATACTGCAAAAATACAACCGTGCTGTTAGAAGAAACTAGTATTGTTATGCCTGCATTACAGAGAATGGCTGAAAGAATAGTGGCTTGTGCAAGGCTTGCTTAGAGAATTCACAGTTATGGGGAGATCTGGATCTAGGACCGTGTTCATAGCCTCTCTGGTGCAGCTCAAAGGTAGCCCAGCGGGCTTATGGGGAAGCTAAGAGGGCTACAGGAAAGCTCCATAGCTGAGCTTGTTCACTTCGTGCAGTTGAGCACACAGAGGACTGCGTGCTTAGTCAGGTTACTGGTCTGTCAAAACTGTGCTTGTTTACTCTGACTGGCAGTGGCTCTCTGTGGTCTCAGGTGGAGGTCTTTGATATCTACTTACCTGATCCTTTTATCTGGAAATGCTGGTGATTGAATCTGAGGCTTTGTGCATGTAAAGCAAATGCTCTGTCTCGTAGGCCTGACCCCCAAACCCCAGTGGCTTAAGGACTGGTGGCTGAGTATTTGCATAGTCTCAGCTATTTATATGGGGCTCTGCAGAGTAATATCTGAAAAAGAGAGAGGTACCTGCTCTGAGGATCTTGCAGTCTGAATTTCCAGAGAAGGAAGTCAGTGGGGAGGGACAGAAATAAGAGGGCAAGGGTAATCAGGGATCAGTATGTGCTTACCAATTCTTGGTCTTTGTTTCTGTTAGGGTTAAGAGTTTGGGTGGAGGAGGTGAGAAGCCAAAAGCGCTTCAAAAGTCCAAGTGGTGTCTGTAGCCCATAGTGCCTTTCACCAACTTTGAGTGGTGTGCCAAACCTTCCTGTTGCTGACTGGATCCCCTAGAACTGCTTACCTCTGGTCAGTGTTGAAAGAAATTCCCTGCTCACCTGTTCATTTAAGGCTTGGACCATTTGATTATGGAGTGCAAAGGGAGAGGGGGGAATCTGGGGGTAAAGCCAGATCTAGAGCCCACCTGTCAGGGTGCCTTGCGGTATGTCGAGGCAGGCAAAGAGAGCACATGAGAAGATGAATGCCTGGGAAAAGAAAATGAGAAATTCAGTTTGTGCACATTGCGTTTGAAATGGTGATGTGAGAGCAAAGCCGGAAATTTGGATGAACAGTGATGGTGTGTTACTGGGTGGAGGAAATAATTCCAGAGGGGCAGCATTTTTAGTATATATTAGATGTGCGCTGAAAACTGACAGTGTAGCAACAGAGCACCTTCTATAAGAAATAAGAGCCGTTTCTGACTTTTATTTTTCCTGCCATGCTAGTGGCAAAAAGATACATGTGCTAAGGTAGCATGGGGTACAGCCGTCTCCATTCCTGTCAAGTACTGCATCTATTCACCATTTTACTTGTAGAAAACGAAGGCATTCATACTTCTGACTTCCATAAATATGCCAAATCGTACAGTTTCATATGCCTAGTTATAACTATTCATTTGATCTTAAAGCAGTGAATTACATTTCTGTTTCATAAGACAGAATTGCATATATTTCACTGGCCCAAAAATTTCTGCTGTTTTTCTTAACAGAACAAAAAAGTTGGGCGTTTTCTGTGGCTTCAGAATTTCAAGAAATGTACTATTTCTATGGGGGCGACAGTAGGAAATAGGCAAAATTTGGTTGACTGTATGCTTGACCGTGGTTGACTCGTGATGTCAAGAGTGCCCTTGTACTGGTGGTCCTGTATCTCTTCATTACAGCTTTGCAGGAGTCCTTGTCCAACACAGATTTCTCAGCTGTCCTCTACTGTGTTATGATACTGCAGGCAGGGCTCTGTTTCAAGAGCAAATTTGTGTGCTCAAGGAAGAACGTGATTCCTCCTCCTGGCAGTTAAACTTCAGGGTTTTGTAGTGTGTCCTTCCTCTGTTTTATCTTAATTGCAACATCCCTGTGAGGTAGATTGGGATGGGAAAGTTACTGGCCCGGGGTCACCCACCAGACTTGAATGAGGATGGGAACCTGCGTCTCCCGGTTCTGACACTCACCACTAGACCACACCAACTTGTACAAGATATGTGGAATAATTTTGGGTAGACTTTGACTGAAATTTCTGGGAATGGGCATATTTTTACTAGAGCTTGTCAGATTCCCCCACTGTTTGGAGACCTTTGCAAATCATGTGTCAACAAAGTTTTCAGATGCCTTGATTCTGAAATCAGAATTAGACCCCCAAAAATCTTTATTGGCCTGTTTTAGAGAACACTGGTGTTCTTGTCCACATTCAGTGTGGCTTTTGTAGGCAGTATTTCATCGTAGACCAAGGGGATCAGCATAAGCCACCCTGGGCCGCCAGACGGGAGAAATGCATCATATGAATGAAGTGAGTAGATAAATAGTAAATATGACAGGACATTGTTGCAGTGAGTGTAGGGTTTTCTTTTTATTTATAGTCCACCTTTCTCACTGAGACTCCAGGCAGATCCTTGGTTTTAAACCCAGAAGCGTAGCTTTCAGTCTTGCACAGCTTGTAGCAGCCTTTCAAAACTGGTCTTCTGGAATCAGTTACTTGTGATTTGATCAGGATACAGGTTTAGATATGGTATTTTATCTATGGTGTTTTATCTATATTTATGTATTATTTTATATAGTAGTGTTATTTATTATAAAATATAGTATATTTTATCTCTCTATAGTAGTTGGTTTACAGCTGGTTTACAACTCAATATACACAATTCATACAAAGGCTATGAACATAGGGGCAGATCTCTGCAGATCAGGTAGATTGATTTAAACCAATGTTTCCGTTATCTAGTTTCTAAATAAATAGATACTAATTTGTTGCTGTTGCCATAAAATTGTATTGATTTAAAACTGAATAATCTTTAATACAGCCTCACAGGACATAGTATAACTGTGCACCCCAGACATATTTCACCACTGTCCAAAGCATTAACTAACACAGAGTGAACAGCATTCCCTCTCAAATCCTGGAAATATTTATTCTTCCACATCCGTTTAGATACAGGTATATCTATTCTAAATGACTCAGCTTCCCAAATGTTTTATTTTTCCTGAACTGATAAGTAGCTAACATCATTCTAGAAATTTAAGAACATGCTCCAGTGTTAGTGTGGCGGCCAGGCCACTGTTATGACAAGATTGCTGTAGGGTTGCAACACTGATTGACTCTTATTTTAATAATGAAGGATTTACCAGCAAGGGAGATGGCCAGAAAGAAGCATGGGTTTTCTAAGTGATATTTCGTCTTTAACACAGAACTGCATCCAAACGAGGAAGTGTTGTATTTGCTCCAGTTGCTCAGGTCTTATTCAGTTTAAGTATCAGATCCACAATTTGCTGCATCATAGTTTCCAAATTGTCCAAGTATTGAGTACCCAGGGATTTGATATTCTCATTTGCTATGAGGAACCTGGAGGTGTAAAGCGCCATCTGTTTTATCCTCTTACTCCCAGCCCCAACAAAACTGCTTTGTAGCCGTGTTCAGATTTAATTTTAAACCAGGTTGTTTTAAAGATAAATTTATTGTAGCAAAAATTTAAAGACAATTTTTCATTATTACTTTTTCTTATCCATCTTGACTTTAAATAACTTGGGTTCTTACCTGGCTATTCTCCCAAACTGGTTGAAGCCAAACTTGCTGAGTTGCAGAATCTCCACAGATAACTTTGTTTTGTGCAAAGGCATTCAGTTTGCTCCCCCCCCCTCCCCAAAGGGGGTGACAGGATTGTTCGGCATGACTCAGAGATTTGAGTAGAACACTTTGAATGGCAGCTGGGCCAGGCGCCAAGTGTTGAGAGAGACTGACTGGCTTTGTGGCTCTTCGGTGCCATCAGTCAAGATACAAAATCCTTGGCTGAGGGGTGAGGGATGCAGTTTTGGGGAGAGGATGATTTCATGTGATATCAAAACATAGCATCAGAAGGAAGCGGCCACTGAACGGGAAGCAGGGGAGAACTTAGAGAAGAACTGAGTTACACTTTCATGTTGTAATTACCAGGCAGACAAATTCAAGAAATAACTTCTATGCCATTGATGCTGCTGTTTGAATTACTAGCAAGAAGAGGGCAGGGTATTCACATCTAAAAATGTAGGCTACTTGGGGTCCTTTATGGGGGACAATGTATGGGAAATGCAATCAAGATGAGAAATGTGTGTACGTTTTGCATTTGCACAAAGTTTTTCCTTGTTTGTTTCTCCGTGAAAGACAGTGTTGTTAGATTTGTTCATGTTGTACAGTGATAAGTGACTGAATTCTTTTTTTGTTTAAAGGGACTGCTTAATAATTGTTTTTTATAAACTTTTAAGATTTTCATATGTGAAAATAAAGTTGAAGAAAAAATATGGGAAAATGGGGGGGGGGAGAAACAAAAGAAAAAGGACTGGAGGAACATATCCTTAAAGAACTTAAAAAATTTTCTCCACAACAAAGCTGATAAACCTCTGAATTCTTGCTGGAGAAGCATGCTCAAATTGACCTAGACCTCAGGATCCTGTGATACTGCTGAAGGTAGAAGATAATTTCAAAGACTTCCCAAGCCTTTGCATGTATTCACCTTATCCTTAAATTAAAGCCAGCCGCTCTGTGTTTCTTAAGACACAAAGGGCAGGAGAAAGATGGATGGGTGAAAGGACAACCGGCTTGTGGCCGCTTTGCTCAGCCTGCCCTTTGCTGCCCCGTGACAGGCAAGAGCAGCATAGAAAGGTGTCTTTGAAGCATTCATTCCACATTTTCTCGTGAGTACCTGTTTGGCTGTAATGAGTTCCTCATTCTTATACATATGCTTTCTTTTCAGTACCAAGACAAAGAAGAAGTTGTTTTGTGGATGAACACTGTAGGACCATACCACAATCGCCAAGAAACCTACAAATATTTCTCTCTCCCTTTTTGTGGAGGATCAAAAAAGAGCATTGATCATTACCACGAAACACTGGGAGAAGCACTTCAAGGTGTTGAGCTGGAGTTCAGCGGTCTGGACATTAAGTTCAAAGGTAAAAACCACCCTATATTGCTTTTACTAGCGCTTTCTGAAATTATCCACTACCATCCCACTCTTAAATGTTTAAAGAAAAAAGAAGAGACGTCTTTATTTTCAGAAACTTGTCAGTGAATGTTCATCTTTTGTCTTGCTGTGCACCCCCACATTGGGGACTCTGCTTTCGCAGGCCGGCCATGGGAGATTTTTCTCTAGCTTTAAGCTCCTAGAAATGGGGCAGTCCACCTCAGGGAGATGGTACATGCGCTGGTTTTCCTGCCAAACACATCACGTGGTCTAGAGGTGGACCGCCCCCATTCCCTCAGTTCCTGCCAAGCCACTGCGAGCTTAGACAAATGATAGATAAATCAGTGCATCCATGGTCCGTGTCCCCCCCCCCCCTTTTGAGAGTTTACAGTGGGGCAGGAGGGAGGGAATGTGTGCACAGGAGATGTCGATGAATAGCTGTTACAGGTAAGGGCAACCATGTTTGCTCAAGATTGTAGAACAGAATCCCTGCTTATTAGGGACAATATGATATTATATCTATAGCTTGAACCATGTGTGCAGACTTGGTCATCATTAAGACTTCAGGAGCAGAGATTGCCTACTGCCTTTCCCCCTCCCTTGTGTGAATTATTTCCATCTGCCTTCACTATATGGCTACAGTTTACATTAGCACTAGTTTTAAGGATGGGTAATGCGGGCTAGGGTTTGCTGTTAACCAGTATTGGAAGTTGGTGAACACAAATTGTCTGCCGAACTTGCACAGGAGCAGCTGCATCTGGCCTCCCATGTCCAGTCCCTTATTGTAGTTTTTTTAAAAAGGACGTATTGCAGGTGGGGAGGGTGAATGTGCTTTACTTCAAACAAAGGCATCCTTCAGAATCTCCACTCTGCCTACTATCTGTATGGGATGTGGACATTACAAAGATAGGGTGAATTTCTTTTTTTTCTGGATTATCATAGTGTGCAAAGTTATGCTGAGCATATTACAGCAGCAGAGCCATCAGTAAATTGGTGGCAGGGATACTGAATTTTACAGGACTCTTGTTGCACCATGGAATACTAGTGGGATTAGGTGAAAGGACAATTTATACTAGGCTAGGGGCACAGGAATCCTGTAGAATGTATTAAATTTTGTTACGTGCTAGGAGCTATATATACAAAATTGAACATCTCTCAGTTAGTTTATTGGTTGGTCTGAGGTAGGGGGATGCAAAAAAAAATGGGCCGGTATTTTTCATCTTTGGGTAAATCAGACCCGAAAAATATCGGTAAATGCCGAATTTCCCCAGTCCAACACTGGTGAGGTATTCGGATTGGGGAAATATTCGGTATTGCCGAATACATTCAGGGCTGATTTACACCACCAGAGGGAAAGGAGGCATGGTAAAATGCCTTCTTTCCTGATGGTAGCCCCTACAGATTTCCCTGTCAATTTCACTCCCCGCCTTCCGTTCTCTAGCAGACATGTCCTAGCTGGAGAAGGGCAGGCAGGGAACCCAGGCACATTTAAAATGCCTGTCTTTCCCTCTCTAACCTTGGGGAGGGAAAGAAAGGTATTTAAACCCAACAGCTGACTGGTTGTTTTTCGGGTATCCTTTCAGTTCGGCTATAGTCGAATGCACACCCGTAGTCTGAGGCTCCCGGTGAAGGCCATCAGTTGAGGGGAGATTACTGGGCTAGGAATTCCAGTGCTCCTGGGGAGGGGAAAGTATAGCAATGGGACCAGGCAGGATTACAAAGGAAGGGGATTGACAAACAAATAGGCTTGATCCTCTTTCAGCCTGCGTCCCATCCCAAGGGTTGCTGCCAGCGGGGCTAGGGCTAATAACTTCCCTCCAACATTGGTGTTGTGCAACGCCAAGTCCATAAATAATAAGACCACGGTCCTCCAGGACTTCTTGCAGGAGCAGGGTGATGACCTGGTGTGCATGACCGAGACCTGGGTTCGAAAAGGGGAGACAGTTGCTCTCTCCCAATTAGCTCCTCACAGGTTTTCAGTTCTTCACCAATCACAGATTGGGGGCGGGGGGAGGAGTGGTTCTATTCATTTGGGAGGCTTACTCCTTCAGGGCACTCCTACCACCAAGGATCGCCAGCATAGAGTACATCAGCCTTGTGTGGGAGGCTGGGGAGAGTTTGGCTATTTGGCTAGTGTACCAACTGCCCAATGCACCAGCCAATACCTTGCCATCAGTCAATCAAATGTATTGTTACAGTGAACGACCAGTGCACTCAATCATTTTACATAAACACATTTGAATAAGAAATATGAGATAAAACCAACAGTGGCATACTGACATTTAAAAATCTGTGACATGGAGATACAATAAGACAGCCATACAGTGTAGTGTTCTGCAGCGATTTGCCTCGTCTGGTGAACAACAACACCCAGTCGTTGTTTATGCAATAGCTTTATTAGTAGAAGGAGACGAGAAGAACAGAGACCGAAGAACAACATCACACTGCCTGAGAGTCAACTGACCCTCCCCATTCTGTCAGGTTAACTACGTCACAATAGAACGGAAAGCCACCTACTTAAAGATACACACACATCACATCTCTCCCTCCAAAATGACAAAGGATATTCAGACTACCAATTAGGGATAAAAAAATGAAAACGCATAACATACCTGGTGTCAGAAGGATGGATTATTTTCGGCCGCCCCCTCCACTTCGTTTGACTGGTAATCTTGCAGGAAATTGGAAGATGTGGGGGCAAGCTTTCCAATTTTATTTAATTGCCAGAGCCACTGATAACATGCCAGATAAGAGACAAATAGCTATATTGCTAAGTGTGATTGGCGAAGACACCATGAGGATATATAACACATTTGTTTTTGAGGACGGAGGGCCAAAGACGTTAAATGAGGTTCTTGCGGAGTTTAAGAAATATTGTCCTCCATAGAAGATTTTTGATATTTGAGCGTTATTGTTTTTGGACGTATAACTGGGGGCAGGGTGTGTCCGTGGAACAATTTACAACTGAACTCAAACTAGAGGCTGCCAGCTGTGAATTTGGCTCGACTTCTGAGAAGTTGATCAGAGATAAGTTGGTCTTTAGTGCTCCGGACAGATTTAAAGAAAGACTCTTGAAAGAGACTGACCTTACTTTGAAAAAGGCTGTTGAACTCTGCCCGGTCGCTGAAGCTCTGGCCTCTCAATTACAGACAATGACAAACTTCTCAAAACCCAGACAAGTTGAGGAGATTCCTTTGCAAGCAGTGAGACAGCAAAAGGCACAGCCCGAAGATGGAGATGGTGTTGTGAGAGAAAGGAACTGTTCATATTGTGGCACAGCACAAGTGACGATCAGGTGGAAATACTTGGGTGGTATGCCGACATAAATTTGAGAGGACTCAAGGTTAAATACATCACAGTAGAACGGAAAGCCACCTACTTAAAGATACACACACATCACATTTATGTATAATTTAGATAAAAATTAGAAAATCTAATTGCCATGCATTTTACGCTCCTTGTAAACCTGGGCACATAATCTAGCCACCTGTCTTGTTGTCTGATGGAGGTGGCGGACCCAGTGTCATCCATGGCAGCGCTGGGACGCTCCCAATATGTAATGCTCCCCACTCACTGGGGATCCAGCACATGCTGGATTTGATCTTTGTGGATGGAGTTAGGGTGGACCGGATCACTGCCGTGGTGGTGCCATGGTCGGACCACTATGCCTTGAAGGCCCACGTGAATGTTCCACCCCAACCTGGTTTGGGCGGCGAGCATATTTTAGCTTGCCTGTGGAGCCAAATGGAGCTAATGTGGCTCCAGGCAGCCCTGTGGGATCCTATGCCCCCTGGCTGCTCGTTGTGGAGGACTGGCATAGCAGTCTCTTACGGTCCGCCCTCTCTTAAAGAAGCCATCCTTGGTTCCTGCAGAACTGGTGAACTACCGGCCAGTTTGTCCTACTTGGGCAAGGTAGTTGAGAGGGCCGTCAGTGGGAAGTCATTTACAGAGTTTTCTGGGTGACGCTTCCATGGTGTTGTTCAGTGGCTTCTTTTTCTTAGGTTTCTCTTAGTAAGTCATGTCTTGTCTTTAAGGGTTAATGTTTAAGATTTTAATTGAGTATTGTAATTTTAATCCGTTGTGAGTTGTGTTGGCTCCAGCTTGGTAGAGAAGTGGGCTGTGGCTATTTTAAATAACACGCTCAGCATTCCGCTACAGCTGCCAGAAGTGATCCGTAGTGGGTGGGCCAGCGGTCTGTCAGAGGAGCACTTTCTCCGCAAATGAGCATTTCATTTAGGAATATCTAATAACCACCTGAAAAATCTAGCATTCCCTGAAACATGGTCTTTAAAACACCATGTTATTTGAGTTCTTAAAAGAAAGAAAAGAAAGAATCAGTATCTGAAGGTTTGCACAACCTGAGCCTGCTGAGAACAAATAGCCCCTCCTTGTTGTGCCTTTGTTCTGGTCTTCCAGCTTCTTGGGGCTAAAGAAGAAGAAGAAGAAGAGAGATTGGATGTATCCCCCACCGTTCACTACCCAAAGGTGTCTCAGAGCGGCTTACAAACTCCTTTCCTTTCCCCTCCCCACAACAGACACCCTGGGAGGTGGGTGGGGCTGAGAGAACTCTGACACAAACTGCTCTTTTTCAAGGACAGCTGTGCCAGAGCTTGTGACTGACCCAAGGTCACATCAGCAGGTGCGAGTGGAGGAGTGGGGAATCAAACCCGGTTCTCCCAGATTAGAGTCCGCGCACTTAACCACTACACCAAACTGTGTAGTGAACAACTGGAGCTCCAGAGCAGATTTGGCACATAACCTTTCACCTGACTGAGGACTCCACCCGAAGCTCACCTTCTGTGTCGTCCAGAGAGGCTAGCTCTGGAGCGTACAGCCTGGAAAGCCGGATAAACATGTGGCTACGAAAGCTCTTTGTCTGGGCAGTTCTTAGTTGTGCCAAATTCTTCCCTTAATGAGGACATCACATATGGGTGGTGATGCATCAGGCTGAGCGTTTCTGCAGGGTGAAATCCTGTTCTGTTCTCGGGGGCCAAATTTAGAGCCTTGGTCTGCTGACCTGCGAGGAGGTTTTCTCTTTCTTTTCCCTTGCCGCTCCTCCCCCTGCTGGTCTGGCAATGCTGAGCCCCATTGCCAAGTGAAGGGGGAGGAGAGCGGAAGGGCAGCAGGGCCTCCCTGCCCAATCTAGGTAGCTGCCTATTACCCAGCTAGCTATGCAGGGTCACCGCCTGCCACTCCTCGCACTGGAGCCCACGCCCACGACATCAGACACGCTGCTCTTGGTGGGCCTTTGGATCCTGGGGTGCAAAGGGCACAGAGTCTGACACTTGGCTGCATCGGCAGCTCTGCTGTAACCTCTCCCCCCCCCCCTGCACTCTCGTGCCCGTGAGAGCCCCTCTGATCAAGCAGTACTTCACTGGAGTATTTCTTCATGGTCCTCATGCATAACAGTTTAATTGCAGTCCTGCCTTAGTGTGTGTGTCTTTACTCT